AGTAATCCCCCCTCGCCCAAATGGCAGATTCAGTTCCATGCTTTTGTCTTTTTGATTGCCGTCTATGAGTTATGCTGTTGTTGCCTTTGTTGGGTTTGCCTCTTTGTGCGCAAAGCCGGGAGTTCCCAATCACTCATTGACTGCTTCGCTTCCAAGCCTCTGCGCTTTCCTTTGTTTGCAGCACTCGAGGGAACTGCGCTGATACAAAGTATCCACTTGCGGTTTTGAGTTAAGCACCGCCACCTGCCAGTAATCAGCTCGCGGTTTCACTTCCCCTTTTTCCTCTGCTCGCGCCTGGGCGGTGAAATTGACTTAGGCGAAGCTGAGCGGTGCCTTCGCCATGCCGTGCCGGCTGAATCTGACACAGAATGTGTTGGGCCTTCTATCATTTGGGACAGGTCCATGGTTGCCATGGAGGCCATGAACTCCTGAGCCGCCCTGGACTCAACATCACCAGGTGGCAGGTTAAAGTCCTCAAGGATCATCAGCCTTGGGGACTCCACTGCGAACCCAGCAATGGAATCCAGTAGCTCGAGCAGGAATGATGCTGGGCAGCAGGGAGGGTGGTACACCACCAATAATCCCAACTATTCCCAAAGCCTAACTTAAGCCAGAGAGTCTTACATCCAGTTATCTGCAGAGTAAAGCCTCTAAGAACCCTCAATGACTCACAGATGACATACTAAAAGAATTGCAGAAACAGAGAGGAATATGATGTAACTGAACTTTAAAAACTTATAACAGTAACTTGGAACTTTTTCTGAGCCTTAATTATAAACTGTTGGTGAAATATGACTCAGAATCCAAACAAATCAAAATTGCATCATTAAATGGATGCAGAATTTGAATGCAGTAATAGAAATGCAACAATGGGAATTTCAGTGCAAGAAGAATATTACATTTATTCTGAATATTATACTTAGAGTAAACTAGACAACTGACTCAAGACATTTTAGCATTGGATAATTAGTCTTGAGTGCTAAGATGAATATTTTCTTAAAATTGCTGGAAATACAATGAGCAGGTGGATCTTTATTTTCATATTTGGTGGAAATGTTGTAAAATACAGTATCTATATTAGAAGGAAACAAATCTTAAAAGTTGAATTCCCATTTCAAACTGCAGTATTCTTATTAAACTTTATTAAAGCATATATTCATTCAAAGTATGAAGGAATTAGCTTTGTATATACTTATTGGTACAAGAATATTACATGCTTTTTACTGGAACGGTTGTTTGATCCCCTCCATGGAAGAATAGCTAACAAAGCTGTGGGAGGATGCTTCAATATCTAGAATTACTTCATACCTTAAAAGTAAATCTGACATAGAATTCACCTCAAACTGGAAACAGTTCCTAGATTGCAACCCAATTCATGTAATCTAGGAATACAACCCAATTCATCGATTTGTACTGCATCTAAAATTTGGATTTCTCTGTGTAAAAAGTTTATATTTCAATTTTATATTTAAATCAGAACAGACTCTTAGAAATTTGAACTGAATTTATTATAACTTAACATTTTACTCATGTTGGCCATGGTCTTGATAGTCATTCTTAGCTCAGAGTTTCATAATTATTTTTAGTTTTTAAAGTGATACAATATATTCAGCTATTTACAACTAATTAATGTTATAGTGAGAGCCAGTTTGGTGTAGTGGTTAAGGCATCAGGCTAGAAACCATGAGACCGTGAGTTCTAGCCCCCCCTAGGCACAAAGCCAGATGGGTGAATCCTTGGGCCAGTCACTTTCTCTCAACCCTAGGAAAGAGGCAATGGCAAACCACTTCTGAAAAACCTTGCCAAGAAAACTGCAGAGATTTGTCCAGGCCATCTCCAAGAATTGGACACGGTTGAATGGATTAAAAAAAATGTTAGATTGGAAAACTGAAACATCCACAATATTTTTAAATCCCCTGTCTATTCATCTCTATTTTACTTTTTTATTCCTTCTTTTTGTCTGGAGATGATATTTTGTAGGAAAAAAACTGAAGGGTCCAGTTTAGAACCCTAACCCACATATCTGCTTGGTATAAAACAGTATCACTAATTCACTAAAAGCAATCAGGTGCGAAGAATTCTCAGGTGCACCAAATGTAACAAGCACTAAGAAGATAAGTGAAATGTTAACTACAGGAATGCAGATTGGGCAACTAAGAATGAACAATTAGTGCTGGGAACACAAGGCTTTTAGATAACAGCTATGTTAAAATAACAACTTTAAACACTAATTCTTACAGCCCTTTGTTTAAACCATTGTATGGTTCCATTGTATAGGGAATGTATTACCTCATTCTCCCCCCCCCCCTTTATTAGATCTTCCAATGCATATATGAATTAACCCAAATAGTAAGGTTAGCCTTATCAATCACATTGATGGCTATATCCCATCACATGACAAATAACTATCTATAGTTTTATTGTAGCCTATCAAATATAAGGATAATTTGTATATGTCTATAAAGAATGCTTGTAACTCCATGCTTCTTTAGCCTTCTTGTCCTGCCTCCAGTACCAAATCTGTCAATAAATCAATTTGTGCTTCAGAGACACTTCTTTGTCTCTGGTTCAAATGTAGCCTGGGAAAATTCTCCTTCAATTTCAACTTACAAAGTAGCTTCATGTTACATTTCCCCAACTGGGATTCACTTGTGTCATTATGTAAGAATGACCATAGTTCATGCACTAGCGTTAGCTTTTAATCACATGCTCCAGGCCCTCACTAAAGCCTGGCCATCCAGCTGATGCTTACATCTAGGAGTATCTAGAAACATTAATCTTCAGAAAGGATGTATATCCTTACATGAGAATTTTTGCTCCATCATCAGCTGGATCTGTGGATCACAGGACATCTCTGTCTTGTGAGCCCAAGCTTCAATTACCTCTCATGTAACTCGTGCCGTATTTGAAACTGATTAGAATTTGGTCACGAATTTTGATTTAGAAGGAAAGAACAGCAGAGTGATAACATTTCTGTTTACTGCTCTCATGAAACTACTAGAGAAGGTCATCCAGAACTTTGGGATTCATGTCATTAATGTGCCATCCAAAGTAATAAAAGATAAGGATTGAAATGGGTTGTATTGAAAAAGAGGTGCCTGATTCAGTGGAATAGGAGGCAAAAGCATTTCACATTAAGTAACAGCAGTACTGGATCATACTTTCAAGAAGTGTAATGAAGAAGGAAAGAGGATGTACAAGAAAATTTGTTTCACAAATGATCAGGCAGAGAACCTCAGAAACCATGACTTCGAGTTTCCGCCCGGACAGGACAGTGCGCAGACGCGCTTCTTGGAGCTCTGAGGGCACCTGAGCTGTATTTGATCAGCGGTGGGTCTAGAGGAGAGAAGACCACCAAATTATCCCCCTGGATAGGGGGGGTTCAGAAGACCTGACATGGACGCTTAACATTACAGCCATCATCAAAAAGGCACAACAAAGGATGTTCTTCCTGCATCAACTTAG